GTCACTTCTGTGCAAAAGTAGGCTCTCAGCCATACGACTGGAGTCACATGCAGCCAGTCTTGTGGAATTATTTTCTTGCAACACTACAAAGATCAATTCATATCAGGAGCAATGTTAGAAACCATAGCATATTATTATTATTTTTTAAGATTTTATTTATTTATTTTTAGAGAAAGGGGAAGGGAGGGAGAAAGAGGAGAGAAACATCAGTGTGTGGTTGCCTCTCAGGTGGCCTCCACTGGGGACCTGACCTACAACCCAGACATGTGCCCTGGCTGGGAATCAAACCAGCAACCCTTTGGTTCACAGTCTGGCACTCAATCCACCGAGCCACACCAGCCAAAGCCCATAACTTATTATTAAATGTACAATCTCATCTTTGAAAATAATTTTTTCTCCCCCCAAATAACTTGCAGCCATGTCTGCCCCACGCAATCATTGCTCTATTAGTAGACAAGACACTCCTAGAACAAAGGTGGCTGGTTCTGAGCTGCCAAACTCTGGTCAGACCACTTGGGAAGAACAGGTCCAGGCACCACACTGTGAGAGACATCCATAAATGGAATTATTTACAGAAAAGAATGAATAGTTTGCTAAAGAATTCGACATTAAGACTAAGAATGGCTTTTGGGCTTTTTTTGTCCAGCCCTGGCCTAGGCCTCAACATGGGTTCTCAGCTTTCTTTCCTCCAGGACTAGAATGCTTGTCTCGCCCCTATCAGTTGTTCTGATAGTGAGGGACAAGGGCTTTGCTCCCTGCTGACACACGTGCCAGATACGCCTGTCAGCCAGAACTTCAGAAGATTCCCCCTAAAAGAGGTGCAGGATGATTATCCGATGGAAGGAATTGTATCCCCCTGAGACTCTAGGTCCTTCAATACCCATGTTCTGCCATAAGAATTAACTTTCTTCCAGAACAAGAAGCAGGGTCTGTCTGTCCACCAGGCCTACTACATACTCAGGACAGGGGATGTGGGCAGGTCTACACCCATTGCAGGCTTCCACATGTTTTTCCATCTGGCTAAGGGAACTCACTGCGTCTGGCCTGTGATCAGACACACACTATCGCAGGAAATGGGGGTCAGTGCATCCAGAAGGGCAGGAGAGCTATTTGCAAACTGTGGGGCCTTCATGAAGATGGATTAGGTAGAGTTATGAAATGGGAGTTTATGAGGGACACCAGGTGAGACTTTAGTTTTCTGTAAGGGATAACTCTCTAACAACTTTCTGCTTACCTTTGTCTCCCCCGCAGTGACTTATATGCATAAAGAGCTGAACTATTTGCTAAACTGAGGACAATTAGTCCTCTGAAAATGAAATAGGTGCCCTTAAGAAGGCAGCACACCCCCTTCTCTTACATTTGCAGACAAGATGAGAAGTGTTTTTGCTGGGCTGCTGAAGGGAGTAGAGCATGCCAGATAACATTTAAAAGTCCCTTCTAAGCCTGAGATTCTATGAGGTTCAGTAATCAAATTTCAGTGAAATTTAACCTGGATATTTTCCCCAAAAGTAATTGCTCTTTAGTCTGCCTCATTCTAAACTCAGAGAAGAAATATTTCTCAGTAATTGACAAAGAGGAGACTATATCATTTGCCACTTATATCTCTGGAATTCATGGGCTTTACAGACAGAAAGCTGTGTGAAGTGGGAGAGTCATGTAACAACAGAATCTCCCTCTCTGGTGAGGCCACTCAGAAGCTAAAACCTACTTATTGTTTCTTCAGGCCATCTTCTACTAACATAGCAATAAATTTGATTCCATCTGGACATACTGTGAACTGGAAATGGAAAAAAAAGTGAGGAAGGAAAGCAAATCAGACTTCATCTCAAGGAAAAACAAGTTTCAAATAATTATCAAAATAATTTTTCCACTTTATTTAACAAGATAACTCTGAATGTACACATTTAATTTATGAACACAGTGTAAAATATTTCTTTCTATCTTCCCTTTCGTCTAGTAATTTCTACATGCATTTGGACATAGATAACAAACAGGGTTTGAACATAAGGAGATGAACGTGCCTCAGCTGACTCGGTGTGACTGTGCTGTCAGCTGATTTCCCGCACTTGTGGAAGCTGGTTAGTTGGGCACGACCCTGTCTGCATCCTCGTTGTGTTCAGACACTCACAAAACAGGAGCTCACATGCAACAGGCACATGCTGATCACAACAAACAGTCATTCCTTGATGAAGTTAGAACCTTATGGATACATTTCCAGACCCAGAAACACCCTTGTATGTGCTTATTGTACAGCCTTAGGTACTTTCCTTCCCTCTAAAGTGTGAAATCAAATGTGCTTGTTGGGGGCAAGAAAATGCAGAGTCACAGTAGTGTTCCTTTTTCACCAGATGGCAAAGGGCCACGTGTGACCCATGGTGATTCTTTGAAAAGATCAACAATTCTTAAATTGGGCAATGTCCCTTCTGGGCTACAGACAAATTATACATTGTTTTGCTACAACACTGCTGAGCCTTATGGGGTGTTGATGAGTTCAGTAAGAAGTAATATGTAAAATTCCTTTCTACGAAAATATCTTATACTTGAAGAACATAGATTCTAAATAATACCAAACCAGTTGCTAATAGTTCTGGGAAAAGTATTTACCATTAATTTTCTAGGCCAAAAACTATACACAGGCAACGAATTAGGCACTTTGAGGCTGACTCTTTTGAGAATCACTATATGAACATTTTTTACATTTATAGAGTAGTTGGCCCAATTACAAAGGGATTTATCCAACCAAGTCCTTGAATCAGTGGGCCAAGACAAGCAGTGGATATAGTCGGGGATGGGGCATGGGAAGGGCAGCACCTAGTTTGGGAATGAAAAGTGCTGATTAATGCTGAGCGGAAATCATAGTCCCTGACAGCCTGACAACATTTGTCTGATGGAAAAATGACATTGTCAGCTCATGGACTGATGAGAGTTTATCAGATAAATATTTTCTGGAACGCCTATACTTCAGCTCAAACTACCATTCAGTTAGAACTGTACTATTTACACATCAGTAAATATGCCAGGGGCTCAGAGCATGCCTACAGGACACAAATATACAAGAGGATGGCAGGCTTATTGCAAGACTCCCTAAAATAATGGGAAATTATGATGCAAAAAGAATAAAAATATGCACCAGATATTGTAAAGGAGACATACTCTGGGGGAAGGCACTACTTGAAAAGCACAGAAGACTATTTTATTCAAGAGCGAATTACAAACATAAAAATAAAACATTTGGTATTCTACACTATAGTACAAAAATAAATATATCCATCAATAAATAGCAGGACACCTAGAAAGTTTTACATGACTGCTGGGGTTGTTGCTGCCCACGTTTCCCTCTTCCAGTTCTCCTCAAGAGCTGTTTGGGATTATCAACTTAAGTGATGATGATGTGGCCATTAACCTGTAAAAAAGGACTGGCACGGGATGTAGCCAAGGTCTATGATCAGAGAAGACATTAGTGCGCTCTACTTTCCTAAGGTTCTGATAATTTTATGGCTTTGTATTAACACAGCGACGTTTGAGACATGCAGGCATGCCGCAAGAGGCCCGATGAGAGCGGGGAGGACTCTTCTGGTTACGGTTTATGTTCTTTCATTCTCTGATGAGAAGAAAGCAAAATATAAACAAAAGCCACTAGCACATTTGAATAACCAATATGTGGCTTTCTGCACCTTCTTTCCATAGGGAAGAAGAAAATCAGGAAAATGCATGTTTACATCTGGGCTGTGGGAAAAGAAGCATCTGGGATGTGCAGCCTGATTGCAGACAACCTAGATTTTCCCATTCCTTTCACAGAAGAGTGATTAAAACTGCTCACAAGATTTCTCCAGGAACCTGGCAAATCGGCAGAGGGCATGAGCAGGGTGCTGATAGCAATGGGGTGCCAGAGCCAGGAAGCATGGCTCCTGGGAGCAATCGTGAAGTTTAGGAATTTTTACAAGCTGGTTGACATCACTTTGGTACCTTGAAATAGGCCAGGGTGGGAGATTTACAAATCAGGGCATATTCATCCCAGGACTTCTGGCTGTAAAGCATTACTAGCTGCTGTACATATTTTAGACGAAATATTGCCTGACTCTTATCAAACTAGAACTATATGCTCAACTGAGGTTTTACTGTATGTCTATTACAGTGTCCTTTAGAAAAGATAAGAAGTACTGTAGAGTATATAAGTATACAGTGTGTACCGTGGATGTACAGGATGCACCACATCCCACTGAGGGCTCTAAGTGTTGCTATCCAAAGCCAGTTACACACACACACACACACACACACACACCACACATGCACACACACCATTGTATATGGAGGCTATTCCATAAATGAATGTTTCTGAATTGCATGACCATCTCAAATGTCACTCACTGTACACTCCCTGATGGTCAGAATACCACTTTTTCAGGGCAGTGAATTCCCCAGGACCTTCTCTATGTTTGCTCTCAGAATCTATGCATCCAGATGTACAGAGCCGAGATCCAAATTGGGCAAAATGTCTTTCAAAATACTTTCCCTTGCCTCTGGTTTCTAGTGTGATATGAGTTTATAACCCCAAGAGTTTTGTGAATGGGAGGCTGATGGTTTCCAAGGGTTAAAAATCTGCCAGACTTCTCAAGGAAGCATTCAATAGGGTGAGGGGGGACAATGTACTAGAAATCACATTCCAGATTCTAGTGTGAACCATCTGTATCTCCTGCCTGGAGGTGTCAGAACAGTTTGAGAACTACACTTCTATGGTTCTTCCTGCACAGAGACCATGATCCCTTATAAGAGGTGGGGACAGGCTAAGACCACAGCCAGAGTCTCAGTGTCCTTTCTGCTGGCCAACTGCTGGCCGGCCCAGCGGACCATTCCTGTCAATACTTCCCAGTCCCTTAGTCCTTCCCAGTTCCAAAATGGGAAGACTGCAGAATGGGAAGGCTGTAGAATTTCTACCATGGGGCAAACCTGATTTCAAAATTCAGGCTTAGCTTTCTAGGCATTTGCTTGTGTGTATTTTTGAATTCATTACTTATGTGGATCTATTTGGACTTTCATTTTCTTTTTTTATACTTAAGAATGCTTCACAAATAAACCATTTCATAAAGGGTATTATTAAAAGCAAATCAAATTAAATGTCATGAGGAAATTAGAGCTCTAACTTCATTCACCTTGAAAGAAATGCTTTCAGGTGTCCCTCCAGGTCACAGCAGAAGCAATGAAGGCCCATGAAGTCAAGAGACATAGGAATGGAAGAAGGACATGGGGCTCTGGGGCAAAGAAGAAAGAGGGAAGGAAAAAAGTGGACAGAACAAATGCAGAGTTCAGAGGTAAAGGAGAAATATTAAGGATGGAAGAAAAATATTAAGAAGTGAAGAGTTCAACAGACAGAGCCCTTCTGATTTTTCTCCTCTTGTTCTTTGAAAATTTTATTTCATCCAAAAGATTTAATTCTCCAATTAGAACTGCTTATATTTCATAGGTACATCCTAGGATACCACCTAGATTCTCTTCCCCTATGTGCCCCCTCCCACCTTCCCTACTCCCTGCAGCAATAGAGGCCAACAATGGCTTTGCTTTCCTCTTATCTCAGAAACAGATGTCACCCTCAAGCCCCACTGTTTTCCTTTATTGATCAGGCACTGCCCTCCAGAGCATACTGATACCCCCATGGGTTTACTCCTTGCAATTGTACCTTAAGGCCATTACCTCTTGAACCCATTTGGTTTCTGCATCAAATAACCCCTCTCCTCAAACATACAACATCCTTTACCAGGTCCTGATGCTCTGAACGATAGCAGAAACTCAACTGATAAAAGCTGACCTATATTCTCATTAGTATTTAGAAAATGTAATAGTTCCTAGGATGGTTAAATTCCTGATGCAAATTATCTTCACATAAGTCCCACTCAGAGAAGAGGTGACTGATAACGTACCATTGGCTCTTGATATATACACATTTGATTGACTTGTGCATGTGTGTGAGTCTAATGTACCTCTATAGAACCAAAAGAGTTTTATAAGTTTATCTATGTACACATATACATACACAAATATCTACCTTCTGACACTATATTTCTGCTTAGGGGTTCCTGTTTTCAAATTGACTTAGAAGACAAATAGTATGGGCTTGCCACTTGCCATTAGAGGTGACATTGTCAGGAAATGGCAAGTCCAGAGCAAAACAGATTGGAAGAAATGAGACTGTGTAACATAATAAGTATTCCTACAACAGATTCACCCGTCCATTTCCCTACGGCAGTAAGCCTCTATGATCTGTACACCCTTATTAAATAATCTTATTAAATAGGGACACAAAATATACACATATACAGTTATTAAATAATCAACAAACTCCTTTTCTATCTGCAGCCACACTCAGCAACAGCCATGCCTTCATATTTAAACTTGTAGGTGACAACACCTTTGTCTAAATAGAGGATGGAGATGGGCTCTAGCTTGGTGGGCACACAGCAGGCTTTGGAAGCCTTCTGGGAATTCTTGAGGTGGACCAAGGCCTGGATAATTGCATGTTTTGTGGGTGTGAGATGCTCTGCCAGGGGGTAGTTGCAAACACCACGGCATTCATAGGCTTCATATCCAGGTGGAGCGATGATCCAAGAGTCCCAGCCAATCTCCTTGAAGTCGATGTAGAGTGGGGTTCTCTTGCAGTAATTTCCTTTGGCATTCCTTCTGATGCGGGCAGTGGAGTCATAGATGATGTTTGACCTCATCTGCAGCAAAGCCTCTTCTCCAGGTCCACTGGAATAACCATCAAGGCCCAGATTGTCCAGCTCCAGAAGTTGCTCATGGGTGATCATTTCACTCAGTTCCTCTTTCTGTTCCTTCTCACTGCTTTGGTCATCAGAAAACACAACGAGCAAAGGGACATGCTTATTCTGGGCACTGGTGTCTATTTCCATTTGTCCCCTGCCGGTGCCCTCGATTTCGTCATGTCTGCTCTCAATGTGGACTTCCAGCTGGTGGGTGGATGAGCCTGACTGTTGCCAACGCCGGATGGCACTGGTGACATCAAACGTCTCCCACTCACTGTTGGTTCCATAGATCATCTCTGACACCAAGATCAGCATGTTTCTCTCACCCTCATTGTCCTCTTTGCCCTCAAGTACTTCAAAAATGGTAATTTTCCGGTCCACTCCATCATATATCATGCGATCTCTTTGCACCAATGTGTACAACCTGAGTTCAGCCATGATGACTTCTTCATGGTGAGGGATGGACACATTGAAGAGGAGAGGGTATTTTCTGAGCCCATTAAAATTGGCTGGTTGGGAAAACAGATCTAAAAAAAGAGAGATTTGCAGTATGTTACAGAAAAAAACGGACTATTCGTGTCATGAAAGAGCCTGTCCATGAAGGACATTTTATACGGAGAAAATGAGGGGATATAAAAGAAAATAAACACAATGTTAGCATTCTTTGACAGCGACTACCGAGTCAATGGTAGAATGCTAAGTTGAGTTAAGGTGCTAAGACTAATGAGGAAAATGGCAGCTTAATGAATGGTGGAAAATCCACCCAGGCTTGCCCGTATAGCTTGTCAGCCACAGAATTATAGAACTGGGAAGACTGTGGAGATTGTGTGGGCAAGTCCCCAATTTTTCTAACCAGTAAAGAGCTAGCAAATGAAACATGTGGTGGTGGTTGAAGCTTTTTGGGGATGAGGACCTCATTATTTGTCACATTTGCATTTGTAAGAGGCAGATATGTCCACATAGTTAGCTGGGCACTGGTCTTCCCGAAGAGCTCCATCTAGACCAGAGGATGGTAAACTATACCCTATGGGCCACCAGTTTTGGAAATAAAGTTTTGTTGGAACACAGCCTCACCCCTCTATTTCTGTATTATCTGTGATGACTTGTACTACGATGGTATAAACAGTCATAAGAGAGAAACAGGGCTCATAAAACCTAGAATAGGTACTATGTATCTGGCCCTTTACCAAAAAAGTTTACTGACCTCTTCCTGACGCCCCCATAAACCAAGGGGGTCACAGCAGTTGATTTTGGGTATGCAGTCTGTGAGAAATAGGGGAAATAAACCTTGGGGATAGATTAGTTGCCTTAGTCTTATCCCCTTAGCACCTGGCATAGGGTTTGGAAAGTCAAATCACTCAAGAATATTTACTGAAATAAATTTTTAAAGGTCCTTTAGTCTTAGAAGCATATCTCCAAATATTATCAAGTTGACTCTCTAAGAATTTTATGGGAGCCCAAAATTTCCATACTCTTTCCCCAGGTAATACATTTCTAAAAGGAATCCCTGAGCGACCTTGTCATCAATCAAAGGGTTCCAGGAGACCAACAAGGCCAAGGACCACCAATGAAGGGTTCTCTATCATCTCTGACAGCATTTTCCCAACTATATACCCAGTTTGTGAATTTAATATTTTATTCAACATGATCTGATTATTTTATACTTTCTACCTCTTTTAGACTTGTCCTAAGCAATAGTATTAATATAATGATGGGTTTGAGGTGATATGGGGATATTTTGCTAATTTACAATAATAAAAGTGTACAATAACTTCACATAACTTATACCTTCCTCTGGATATGGCTTAAAGTCATCATACACACTGCCGGCGGGAAGTGCTGGGCAATGGCATGAATTTAAGCTTTCTAGCGCGGCTCTCAGAAGCAGCTGTAACCAGGTCTAGACCCCTTGATCCAGTCATTACTTTCATGTATCCTCTCCAGTGCAGGACACATTGCATGTGATCCACTGACCTTTCTTAAAAGATGAAATAAATTATAAACCCTTCTGTTTAAAGCAGACCGATATCTTCATCACATGCCACAACAACACTTTACTGTGTATTGCATTGTGGATAGGCTCTTCTGACTCCTGGAATGCCCCATCCATCCCCTCATCTGCAGCTATCCAGTTGTGGCTCCCCTTGGTGAGACCATCCCTTCCTCTCCTCCTATCCAGATGTTCACGCCCCTCTGAACCACTTGAGTGCTCACTATCTTGCCTTGGACCTTTGCCATTTACATCTTTGTATTTCAGTTATCTTTTTATGAATGGATCTTCCCAACTAGACTGTCATCATGCTGGTGGGTACCACATGTTAAACTGCTTTCTATACCTTCAGCCTGCCACAATGCCTTAGAGGCAGCTCTTTAAATGTATTAATTAATTGATGATTATGGGCATCAGATTGAACTGATTCATAACATATGTCCTTATTACATCAAGTAGATTGGGAGTTGCCCCCCCCTTATAAGATTGGAGGAGATGACTCCCTTGGACAGGGAACATGTGAAGACCAAACATAGGGAAGTAGACTGGTTGCTTGACCCATGAGAAAAGTGCAAAACAAAGGCTCACTATAGTGAGAGGGAAGGATTACAAAGAAGCACTAGAGAACTTTTGGTGGTGATGAATATGTATGTTCACTACCTTGATGGTAATGATGGTTTCAGTGGTTGTTTACATATGTTAAAACCTATTAAATTGCCCTGATCAGTGTGGCTCAGTTGGTTGGAGCATCATCCCATAGCCTAAAGGTTGCAGGTTCAACCCCTGGTCAGGGCACATACCTAGGTTGTGGGTTCGATCCCTGATCTGGGTGCATATGATCCCCAGCCCAGGTGCATTCAATGCCCTGTCTGGACACATATGGGAGGCAACCAATAAATTCTTCTCTTTTGCATAGATGTTTCTCTCTCTCCCTTGTTCTCTAAAAGAGCAATGAAAAAATGTCCTCGGGTGAAGATAAAAAATAGAAAAACCTATCAAATTATATACACTGTAAACATGTGCAGTTTATTGTATGTCAATTATATTTCAATAAAGCTGTTTTTAAAAAAGTTCCTTGTGCATTTGCAAACATAGTAATAGGTGGAGGAATTGTGTTTCTGAGCAAATTTCATGTTCCAGGTGTTCTGCAAGCATGGTTTTATTTAGCTCTTATGTCCCTACAATGCAGGTATTGCTACTCTGTTCCTTTTACACAGAAGAAATGGAACCTCAATGTAGAGAAGTGACTTCCCCCAGATGACAAGGTTAGTTCAGAGCAGTGACAGGAATACACGTAGTGCTTTTTCCACCTTGGAGGTGGCAATTGTTTTCTTCTGATTAGTTAGGTTTGGAGGGATTGGGGGATTTGTTTTGTCTTGTTTTGTTTTTTTGGACTTTATCTCCTAGGAAGCTGCACTGAGCAGACCCAAAGAGTCACCAGAGACAATAGCAGCTGGCAGGATGAGCCCAGTGCAGAATTCATGTCGTGGGGGCTGGGCATCTCCTCCTGCAGACTGGCGGAGGTGCAGGCACCTGCGTTGTCCAAGGAGAGATGTCCCCACCCTTGCTGATCTCCAGTAATGAGAAAGAAGCTCTGCAGACTGCACTTCCTGACCTGCATCATCCAAATCCTCTGCGTGAGAAGTGAGAACTGAAAAACTCCGATTTTCCCAGAGAATGTGAGCATTTTTCTTCTCATACCCCGAGCCAGGCACTTAGGGCTCAGGGCTCAGAAGCATTAGGAAGGGAAGTTTCCCACAAAAGGAGACTGTTCATTTCAATTCAGACTCACCTCCAAAGGAATCTGCAATTTCATCATGCCATTTCCATAATGTTATTAAATGTTGCTAAGTAATATACCCAATATGTTACTAAATATTAGAAATTTTGGTCTGTCAACTAAATTTTTAGGGCAAATAGTATCTCCAAGGACTAAGCAATACCTACTCAACATTTTTTGTAATGCCTAGAATTTAAGGAGTTAGTCAAGAATAACTCATATTTAGCCCTGATTGCTGTGGCTCAGTGTATTGAATGTCGGCCTGAGAACCAAAGGGTCGCAGGTGTGATTCCCTGTCAGGGCACATGCCTGAGTTGCAGGCCAGGTCCCCAGTAGGGAGCGTGTGAGAGGCAACCACACATTGATGTTTCTCTCCCTCTCTTTCTCCCTCCCTTTCCCTCTCTAAAAATAAGTAAAATCTTAAAAAAAAACAAAAAGTAACTCATATTTTTCAGCACTTCATAGCAAATGGAATGTTTCTTATTCAGAATCTCTTTTGAATTGCTCGATTACATTATATAGCTATATTATCCCCAATTTACAGATGAGAAAACTGAGTTTCAAAAAATTTAAACTCGTTGTTCACAGCTATGGAGTCAACCTCCTCTCAAAATTCAAAATTCTGAGCTATTTCTTTGATACCACCTTTCTCTTTTTAAGAAGGTCTGGCCAACATCGATCTTTGCATTTTTGTACCAGGTACAGCAATGCTTTTTTGTACTTGGTTAATGACTATAAAAGCATAATTAGTAAATACTAACAAATATTAATATTAGTTTCTACAGTTTTTGACCATAGGTATCAGGGTGTTTTGGGTTTTGGTTTTTGCCTATGAACACCATAATGAATAAACAATTAACTTTCTAGTTCATTAGATTTAGTTACTGAATAAAGATCTGGGAGGAGAAAACACTTTCCTGATAACATTTGCCTGATATTTAAAGATTGTGCATCACTCTCCATAAAGATGTAGCTATGAGCTGCATCATTAACTGGGCCATGCGCACTTCCTGAACTATAAACGTTGCTTGAAGGATATACTTGTCACATCAAATGCAACACAACCCTAGGAAGGCTTTCTAATATAAGTTTCCATCCTGTTTGAACAACTTCTCAATAAGGTCACAAAAGGGAAACTCATCCAAAGTTTGAGCGAAACACAAATCACAACTTTCTGTTTTTTTCTTTTTTCATAATTTTCATTCTAAGTAGAAGTTGACAAATTTTGTAATCAGAAGCCAAATAGAAACCAAGGTCTATCTGAAAAATTAACAATAAAGGTGGAGTAATAAGCCAACATTAACTTTTTATATTACTTGCTGTCAAAATTAAAAATTTTTAAAGCCCCAATTATAATGTGGAAATAGTAGACACTTTATAACCTCGAATTAAAAGATATTCTTTAGTGCCTTTTAAAACGCTTCGGAAAATAAGCATTAACATGGGATAGGCTGTAATGTGCATTGTTTTGTGTTATCTATGCATACACTCCTTTTATCTATTTTATTCCCAGGCCTCACAAATTTACTTATCACTTCTTGGAAAAAGAATCCAAGCCAAATTTCATCAATAAAATGTCAACTTACCTTCATTTTTGAAACTCCTAATGATGTTGGCAGATGGCATGGAGGTGCGGTCTGTCGCAAACTTGTTGTAGAGTTCCAGCATGTACTCTGGAGGGTCAACCTTGGCCGAATCCTGTGTAGGGATGTCAGACAGGTTCAATGTCTTGAGAAACTCATTCTTCATGCTCTGCAGCAGTGTGTCAAAGTCAACACCGTCTTGCTCTGAGAAGACATCGTCGAAGAGGGGCATATCTTCCTCCAGAGGCGACTGCTCCAGGCTCATGATGGGGCTGCCAGAAGCAGAGTGAGCCACCAGGCAGAGGACAGAGCACAGCTGCAGGGCCAGAGGACCCATGGCTCTGCTCGAGCCCCCAGGCCAACCCAGGAGGGTCTAGCTCTCCTGGGCTCTAAGTGGCAGTTTTATCTTGCGGAGCCGAGCGTGAATGTCTCCTGTCACTGGAGACAAGTTTGGAAATTCTTCCTCTCTCTCCCTCCCCCTACCATTCTTCCTCTTCCCCCAAAGTCAGGTTGCAGTAATTGGATAACAAAATCCCCTATAGGGGCCTAGCCTTTCTTATCTCTCTAGTGTAAACTTGCGCACCAGATTTTGTTTCTATCTTGCAATCCTTTCTTCTTTTAATGAGCATTTTGTAAACATTTTCACATTCTGACACTGGCTGAGAGATAGGACAATTTTCTCATTGCAAAGGCTCTGCTTCTCTTCCTTTTGATTCACTTCCTTTTGGCAGGAATGCCTAAATTCTGCTTTTACGCAGTTCAGTTTCACACATGCAAGTAATAAATGTTAAGAATGAGCACAGTACACAACAATAGCAATCTGTATTAATTCAAGTAATGGGGCTTTCATCCTCACATAAACATTTTTAAGAAAGACTAAATATCCAAAATCTCCAGGTTAACTTATAGGTATAAGCGAATTTATATAAATTTTTAGAATCTTATGTTTTTAGCAATAGGAAAATACAAACTTCATTATCAATAGCCTTTTTCTTTTCTTTCTTTCTTTTTTTTTTTTTGCACAGATTTGACCTGGCTAAAATGGCTTTTGAAAAATAAAGACAGTACTTTACTATAAAAGCAACCAAAACTTATTAGATGCTCTCCTACAAACGGGCATTGTGCTGAGTGCTTTCATGTATCACCTAATGTGTTCCCTGTAACAACCTTATCATCCGCATGTATGTATGGGTCACTATGGGTCAATAGCTTGCTGGAGGTCACAAAGCTACAAAGTGGTAGAACCAGGAATTGAACCCAGGCAGTCTGACTCTAATTTAAAAAATGAAACAGACTTTTGAACCAGTGTTCCCCTGAACCGGGGCATGAGCAGTGATATATTGAAAGGCTAACCAAACTCTGGCCCAGCTCTTCTCAGAAAGTCCATGGTCAGCAGACAGGCAACAATTTGCAAGTCCTTCACCCTTGCAATGAGTTATTAACATGACCCAAATCCCTGGCAAATCTGTCTTCATGGCTCAATCAAACTGATCATTAAGTGGCTCCAGTAAAAAGCTTGGTGAGTAACATTATTAGGCAAATGAAAAATGACAAATGCCATGGTCTGAAAAATGTTGTATGTCTGGGCTAGAAAAGACGAATCAAGTTCATCTCACTTTCCAACCCCAATTAGTGGTGGTAGCAGCATGGCCCAGTCAGGATGGTCCTGTGGACAACTTTGAGGGTGGGGGTGGGGGTTGCCACAGAGGCAGAGGGCCTGGTGGTGTCTCCTTGCCCTGCTCAGTGCACTCCCTGTGTGATCACTCTGGAGCCCCGGCACTGTTCAGAGAGCTGCGTCTGGACGTTGGACACACGAGGATACTCTTAATTTCTGAGTTAAATTTTCCTGCATTTACCCCAATAGTTAGCTGTAATATCTTCACTTTTTTTCCCTCTAGGCTCCCAAATTTAATGGTCATCTTTTGATTCTTTCTTCTCCTAAAATGTAGTATTTTGCAGCAATTTTTTGAATTACCATAGAAAAAACCAGAATTTCGAAGAGAAAATCTCTCCTCAAAACTGTCCATTCCTTTAGTAGTTGTTAATTTTGCTTCACTGCTCCATTTCAGTTGAGACTTCTGCTCTTACACTGAAAAGACAACTATATACTGAAAACAGATTATACCCTGAACAGGTCCAGCAGTGAGTGAGTCCCGGGGCCGGACCACATCCTGCGGATGGTGCATTTTAACATGAGTTTTCTGACAGCATGCCAGAAGAACTCCTATATCATGTCCTGCATCAAAACAAGCCCCGTTTATCTTCACACACACAGATGTCAATGCACACTCCAAATCTCTGAATGGCAGGCATGTACGTGTAACTGCCCAGGACAGCAAAGTAAGTGGCGGTACTTATAACCTGGTGCACTGGGTCAGGAGGGGAGATAGGCATCCCACCCTGCAGAGTTCTGGTTCTTTACATTCTCAGGGGTAAGACATAAACTGAGATATCACTGGCTGCCTTGTACTTGGTGCCAGCGTAACTATGGGGTTAAATATTTGAACCAGTTTCCGAATGAGAAATGTTTAGGTTTGAGGTTGATTGAAAGATAAAGTAGGAAAATGTCTATAACTACGTCTCAATGCCTATGACTTCCTGAACTGTAAGGTCCTTAAGCCCCTCACCTCTGTTGGGGAGGACAAGGAAGGAGATTGAGTTTCATGCATGGAGGAAGGGGACATGAGCTTCTTCCCTCTTCTAGGCCTGGGATAGCTTATAATTTATAGCTGCATAATCTCATTACCCCTATGATTTTCTGTAGAAGCCATCTCTGATGACTCTTATCTGACTCTAAAAGGTCCAAATATCTCCACGTGCCTTCCACCTATTCCTGTGCAGTGATCTCCTTAGTCTGGATCCCACTATTTTCCAGTCCCACTGCAAAATGTTCCAGAGGTTCTGCTTTGTGAAGTTCTGGGCCAAATTTCAAGGTTAGTTTCAACAACTGTTCAGATCCAAGGCTGAGTTTCACTGGCCTCTCAAGGGGATCTGTGGTCCAGACAAGGTGAGACCCCTTGGACAGTGGCCTCGGGAATTGTGCCATTTCCTGTGAGTCAGGTGCGGACCATGGAAAATGTAATCAGTAAAGTCCTCCTGACTGACAAGAGGTCAGTGAGGTTAGGAGGTTTCTGGACATGACTCTAGGTTTTTGGGACCCCCTCCACCTTGGACCCCACTTCAGAGGCATTGCACTACTCTTGCTGCCTACTCAGAAGTTGTCATGACTCTGGGGTGCACCAGCTACCTAACAGGCCCCAGCCAGTCAGAACAGACCCTAGCTGTAGTGCCAGACCAGGAGCCCAGAGGCCCCAAACTCAACTGTGAAGATTTGGATTCAGAGGAGATGGAATTCTGAGAGAAGTACTCAGCAGCAGCTAGTAGCTGACCTGCATGACATTGTTTTGATATGTTAGCACGGCTCAGTACTGCTGTACTATGTACTGCCGGTGACTCCAAGGTCGGCCTAAAACTGCTGAGCCGCAGCGCTGCGAGCGACATGCACTGGCATTTACAAATTCAATACGAGGACAGAGAGCGTGCGCTGGTCACCCCGTGACTGCTACCGGATTCTGCTCTCTGGCTGTTCCCTCATTCCTCACTGCTCCCAGCCCTAGGAATCCACTGCGGGGCAGCTTTGCCCTGAGGACGGGTAGGGAGCACCGCTCTCCTCTGATACCATCTGCCCCAGCACCTCCTTCTAGGATTAGAATTTGCCTTGGCAGCGGCATTTCTCATCAACTCCGTCTTCCAGAGCCCACATTTTCACGGGGGGGAAATGTTTACTTGCCGCGCTACTGACCCCTCAGCCTTTATGTTGCTCCCTCCCCGAGGCTTTTCAGTCTGCCGAGGGGTTCCCACCCACCAACACACAGAGGCCATCTCCTCAGCTCCACTCAGCTGCTCTAGTGACGAGATTTAAATGGTCTCTAAACTCACTCCTTCGGTAACCTTTCACATGATTTCTTCATTGTCTAATAAGGCCTATAATGTGAATTATCATCAATAATTAGGTGAGCAATAAAAATTATGGGGTCTTTGAAGGGTATTTTGTTCAACAAGATTTCTTGTGTGCACCTACTCTGCGTCAGGTACTCTCCAAACACAAAACCTGAAGAAAACAGACCAGACCCCTGACCTTGTGGAGTTTACTTTCTAGCTGGAGACAGAAAGACAACAAAACCAATATACAAATAAATTGATGTGCCTGTTAGGTGGTGATAAGTACAGTAGGAAAAAACCCCAAATAAACCAAAGTTGTATTTATAAGAGGATAGGAAGTGCCAAAGGAAGGGGTTGCTATTTCACTATCAAGGCCAGAGAAGGCCTGGCAGGTGGAAGCTAGGGAGGACCCTGGGGCCCATGCTGGAAGGGCATTGCAAGCAGAGGGAACAGCCTGTGCAAAGGCTCTGAAGTAACAGCATACTTGGGAGGCTTATGCACCAGCCAGGTCAGGATAGTTATGGAAAATCAAGAAAAGAGGAGAGTTCCAGGAAATGAGGTCCAAGATTAAGTGCAGTCTGGACCAATTAGGAGGTGATGGACCTTTTCTAAGTCTTACTATACAAATACACAACTTTGCTGCTTGTTTTTTTTCACTGAACATTCCATCCTAAGGGTTTTTCATGTTGCCACATAATCTTCACAACCAGCAATTATAGTAATTGCCTAATTCCATCCGATGGCTGTCCCATAACCTTGTAAGAGAATTTTTAAAGTAGTAAAGAAAAACTAACAATTCTGTTGAAACGTAAAGATATTGGATGTTTAGATTTGAAATGCAAGTGCCAACATACTATAAAATTGAGAACACAATACATATATTTGTTTACTTAAAATGTGGGTTGGAGAAAGAAAAAAGCAGAGTGATCAAATAACATTTATTCTCTGTAAAATAATAGTAGTCTCAAGAATAAATGGAAACTAATAGTCCGTACGTACCACACAGCATGTGGTCCCCTGCCTCTACCCCCACCTCCTAACAGTCTCTTGTCAACAAGGCAGTCAGATCCTGATATGACATTAGCTCATCACACCTTCCCTCTCCTGGAGGAGAAGACAAAGTCTTGCAAAAGTCCTAGGATCCCTCCATTACCTCTCTGATATCACGGACACTTGTTAACTCCACTCCAGCCCCACGGTCCCCTTCCTATTTTTTTTAAAAAATATTTTATTTATTTATTTTTAGAGAGAGGGGAAGGAATGGAGAAAGGGAGAGAAACATCAATGTGTGGTTGCTTCTCACCCACCCTCAACTAGGGACCTAGCCCACAATCTAGGCTTGTGCCCTGACTGGGAATCGAACCTGCAACCGTTTTTTTTTTTTTCACAGGCTGGCGCTCAAGTCACTAAGCCACACCAGCCAGGGCCC